AGTAGAGAAAGCCAGTCACTGGATCTGGTTGAAGCGAGAGGACGCAGGCTGGAATGATCCTGAGAGTTGGCAGCAGAGGAAAACAGTGGGACTAGCAAGGAGACCTCACATCGGTGAGGGGGGTGAGGGGGATGAGGTGGGGGGGAGGGGAGGGGGTGAGGGAGATCGGCGCGTCAGAAAAGCTGTAGAGAGGAAGAGCCCGAAACAGCGACGCATTCTCTCCTGATGATCTCCATGCTAGAGTCCGGGATACAGAGCGTTCGGCTGTGAGCAGTGCATACGGCTGTTTTAGACTACGTAGATAAGATAGATAAGATTTGATAAGATAAGACACAGAAGACACATGATAAGATAAGATATGACACAACACATCATAGCAAGATTATATAGGATTAGATCAGATAAGATAAGATAAGATGAGATGAGATGAGATGAGATGAGATAAGATAAGATACGATAGGAGTTAGATAAGATAAGATAAAACAAGAACGACAAAACATGATAAGACAGATATGACAAGACACAGCGTAGCAAGATATGATAAGATAAGATAAAGCACGACACGACACGACACGAAAGGTTAAGATAACAATAAGAAAAGATCAAATCAGGCAAAATTCGAAAATGAGTCTCGTTTGAGATGTTTTGTCTAGTCTTTCAGAACAGCTTCAGGTCGATGTTCCTTATTTCCTATAACTAAAAAGCACAAAGGAGGGATGGGAGAGTTACATTTTAGCTGTTAATGTGTCACGACGCGGTGGAATCATGCGCTCGTCAATTGCTTGGGCCTATGGAGTTATTGGCATCACAATAAAGCTTGTTTTATTTGTTTGTTTTGTTTGTTGTTGTGGATTTTGTCTTTCTTTCAGTGAAAAAAATACACATCTATCTTGAACAGAACTCGAGATATTTGCGATTAAAGGAGACGAATGTAGTCTGTTTTCTTAGATAAAATTGGTGAGAAAATAGCTGCCAAAGTTTGGAAACTTCTGTAGCTGGAGAGTCCTTGAAAACTGAAAACATACATATTAATTTTGCCCCATTAATCAACTTTTTTTCAGTAAAATTCACATGGACATGTATATTTTTATGGGCATAAAAGATGTTGAGATTTTTAAAAAATCGAAAACAATTGCCAAACGGGAGGGAAAAAAAGCCTGTTTCTCTGATGTCATTATTTGGACGAGCGCCTGATTTCACCACAATGCCTCATAAAAAACTGCCATAAAAAAACGATACGGTCGTCATTAAAGTGGAGTATTTGATACATGTATGACAGAAGATTTATTAGTGTCTGTTGTTTAATTGTGACAATTTGGCATTCACTCACCGACTGTTTCAGAACATTTATGGTGTCTGCTGTTTAATTGTGGCAATTTGGCATTCACTCACCGACTGTTTCAGAACATTTATGGTCACAATTTGGCATTCACTCACCGACTGTTTCAGAACATTTATGGTCACAATTTGGCATTCACTCACCGACTGTTTCAGAACATTTATGGTG